ACCCCATAAATTACACAATACTGACAGTGGAAGTAGTTGCATATAGTTACACTTAAAAATTAACTTCATTACAGAAGAGGGTGAGTATGTTTATTTACCACACTTAGTTAGGCTTCTGACAGGCAGGGTAACGAACTTTTAGATTGGAGCAAATACAAGACACGGGATCAGACACAGTGGAAGTGGGCGGCCAGCATGAGGAGGTGCAGAATAATGCGAGAATGTGTGAAATAAGGAGGGGGTTACGAGCCCCAGTGGTATAATGCGCAATAATGAGAGAAAAGGTGAAATCAGAAGAAAAAGTGAAATAAGAGAAAACAAAAGAGCAAAATAAAAGGAGAAAAAAGCTAGTTAAAAAAAATGAAATGGGAGGAAAAAAGTTAAAATATGAGAGGGGGGGGAAAAAGTGAATCACAATAAAGTCCAAAAATCTCTGGCAACTGAGGTAGGAAAAGAACAAAGGTCTGGGAAATAATAAAACATTAAAATAGAAGCTGCCGCAGTTGGGAGAGTCTGGGAAAGTGGCAGGGAGGACTGCGGAAGAACGGGCTGGGGTTCAGACTGGTCCATTCTGCACACGGCCCCTACAAATAGATTCAGACCAAGGGACCCACTTCACTGTCAAGTGCCTGAAGGAAGCATGTAAACTACTGGCAATAACACAAAGGTGTCATATCCCCGACCATCCAGTGCGCTCGGGGATGGAGGAGAGGATGAATACAACACTGAAAAATGCTCTGACCAAGGCAATGATAGGAGAGGGGGTTAAACGGACCTTTTCCCTACCAGCCATTCTGATGGCCCAGAGGGCAACATCCTCTAGGAACACTGGACTAACGAGTGCATGACAGGACGAGCAATGACACTCCCCCAGGATTTAATCATGGGGCGGGGTGGGGGGGAGCAGAACTGACTAACAGAAAAAGCACAAGTCTGGGATTACTTAAAATCCCCCTCTAAGCATATACACATACTTCGTGGACAGGAATGAGACCAGCAAGGACTGAGTGTCCGAGGGACACCCAGGAAAAACAGAGATGCCAGTTCCAGGATCAAAGGTCCTGGTACAAATAATCCCAAACAAGGGAGCCTTGTCCTCCTTCCCCCCAGTGCGATTAACCTCATGAGGTAATATTAACAGGTAACTACTTGATTCGAGTAGCGCGAGTGGAGAGTGCGCGAGCCGGGAAGTAAACTATTATATTCGGGCGTTGTCTAAACCCAAAACACCACACATGTAGTGTCTCCTACCCATCTTCCTCCTCTAACCAAAAAAAAGTGTGGAGGGTCAGTAAGTCTTTCTTTTTTTAATCAACAAATTTAACTAATTCGTTATAATAAATTATATAAATTAATAAAGTAAATAACTAAGTAGAAATGGCTGGACAGGTGATGTGTTTTAGCTGTATGATGTGGGAGCTAGCTGATCCCATTGTGAACTGCAGTGACCACATCTGCAGCAAGTGTTGGTTGCTCGAAGAACTTGGGCTCAGAGTTGATGAGCTGGAATCTGAGCTTCAAACACTGCGGCACATCCGGGAGGGGGAGAAGTACCTAGACGATTTGTTTCAGGAGGAAGTCACACCTAGTACATTATGTAATTCAAATTTGGTCAGTGGCCAGGGACAGAGGCAGGTGGAGGGATCCTGCAGTCAGGAACAGAGGAGCCTCAGCTCTTGACCTTGTCCAACAAGTCCCTGTATGGATGAGGAAAAGGGCTGCAGGGAGGATGAGCCAACTGACCACTGCACCGCGGTATGGGAGGCCATTCAAGGGAGGGGAGCAGAAAGACAGGTGGTAGTTGTAGGGGATTCTATAATCAGGGAAATAGATAGCGTCCTTTGTAAGCAGGATCGAGTGTCCCACATGATGTGTTGCCTGCCCGGTGCCAGGCTAAGGGATATCTCTGACCGGCTGGAAAGGATTATGAAGCGGGAGGGTAGGATCCAGTTGTTGTGGTCCACGCCGGAACAAGGTGCTAGAAAGACTGAAAAGGTCTGAAGGTGGATAAATCACCTGAACCAGATGGACTACATCCCAGAGTTCTGAAGGAGATAGCTGAAGCGGTTGTGGAATCACCAGAGCCAGGGAGGGTCCCAGAGGACTGGAAAATTGCTAATATAACTCCCCGATTAGGAAGGGAGTGAGGCAGAAGATAGGAAACTACAGGCCGATTAGCCTAACCTCAGTCGTTGGTAAGATTTTGAAGTCCATTGTGAAAGACAAGATTTCTGAATACTTGGAAATGCCTGGTAAAATAGGGCAAAGTCAGCATGGTTTCATCAATGAAGGTCATGCCTGACAAATCTGTTAGAATTCTTTCAGGAGGTAACGAGGTTAGGCAAAGGAGAGCCAATGGATGTTGTCTACTTGGACTTTCAGAAGGCGTCTGTCAAGGTGTCACACAGGAGGCTGTGGAGGCCAGGTCACTGAGTGCATTTTAAGACAGAGATAGATAGGTTCTTGATTATAAAAGGGATGAAGGGTTACCGGAAGAAAGCAGGGGAATGGGGTTGAGGAACTTATCAGCCATGATTGAATGGTGGAACAGATTTGATGGGCCGAATGGCCTAATTTCTGCTCCTATGTCTTATGGTAACCGAAGTGCACTTATTAATGAAAATGGATTTGGTAAATGGAGACATGCTACACAGCTAAGAATATATAATGGTTAATGGGGTGACTGTCTAGCTTGCTATTCTCTCTCTACCCCCTCCACCACGGCCCCCCCTCTCTTTGCAGGTTTTAGAAGACTCTCATCTGTGCACACCATCAAACAGCAGGAACAAGATCCTCAAGCCCCAGGACACCAACTGCAACAGATGAAGGTCACATTTAAATATATGTGACATGGTTGAGTGATAAAGACTGTAATTACAAACATTGCTAAAATTAAGGTATGAAAATGCTAATCCACTGTGGGTTCCTCTTAGTTTTGATCCCATTGAAGGGTGATAGGGGAGTGGAGAAAAGGAATTTGCATGTTAATACATTTTTATACTTGTCACACATATATGCTAGAAGGCACAATGTTTCCAATTGCCGGGTCTGTACCCATGTCCCCGTATACTCTAAGGCAGGGATACCAATGCGCCCCATTCCCTTTAATGCTTCAGAATTAGGTGAATGGGTATCAAAACAGAATAGCTCAAAACGGAGATAGAGATGAGCATCATACCAATAGTGGGAAGTACTGAGTAAATACTGGCCGAGACAGGGCACAATGGAAATCAGCAGGGTATAACCTGACCACCTTTTACAGCATGGTACCACCCCAACGACCACCCCCCTTCATCACATTGACTAACACATCAGAGATAGGGAGACCTGACGGCTCCATCTGCCGAATGAGAATTGAAAACCAAGGAGAAAGAACGCCTATGGGATTTAGCATCTGCACCCAGAGTTGTAACACTCCCACATACCCTCTTCCCAGGACCCATCAGGGCACTCTTCCTGACCATGGGATCCCTAAACGCGTCTCTCCTCACGCAGGGTGGCCCTACCCTCCTGACCATCAGGAACCTCATGTGTAACAACGCTGGTACCCCGAGATTATTACCCGATGCGTCCTGTACAAGGGCACCTACTTCATGTACAGACACAGAGTCTGTGCCTGGCTACACCCAACCTGGACAGGGTCATGTTACTTGGCTATGTGGTCCCGTTCCTACACGGTTCTCAGCGTCCCTCCTGCAGACAATGCCACAGCGACATAAACGTGCCATTTCAACGGCAACTCGCCTCCGCTCCATATTCTTACCCTGACACGGCACAGACAAGTTATCTTGAAATTCTAACAATTTGGCTACAGTCTTAAGAGCAAGTGGCCAATAATAAGCTCACATGCTTTCAGCAAAATAAAGGCAGAAATGGTCACCATACGAAATATGGCATTGCAGAACTGAACTGCCCTCGACATGATGTTAGCCAAAAAACGGGGTATTTGTGCACTCATCAGCAAGGAATGCTGCCCATTGGTATGTCGTAATTCATATCTACTAATAATTATTCGTAACTGTATGTATCACTGTTCACGACTGCATGTAATATTAACTACAGACCTGTGTACTAGACACCCCATTCAGACTGACTCAGAAGCACATTACCATATCAGGTTACATTCCACTCAAAGGTGCAATCACACATAACTCACTGTTTACACACTTTCATTTACCAACGCCGCATAAACATCACAGGATAAAACATTTTTACACCTCCACACTAAAAGTAGTGCTTTTCCTATTAAAATCTAGCCTCGAATAGGAGGGATCCCCAAACCCCTTAACGCCGGCATGGCTGTAAGAATCACTCAAAGATTAACAACTGGATTAGCTCTCTTCATTAAAAGCAAAATGCCACGTTTTTGCAGACTTTATAGTATTAGACTAAGCCTTAAGTTTTTAATTCAATGTCATGTATATAAACAACCTTTAACCTACTAATGAAACTAACAGCACTTTGACCAGAACCGCGAGATGTTAAATTAATGAAGGTATGGTTGAAACTGACAACGCTACTATAATAGACGAATCTGTGAAATTGAATGAATAGGCGATAGTAAACAGAAGTCATAGACAGCTGTGACTGATAGAAATCCAAACTTTTTTACCGACATTCTAACTTTGGAGATAACAGGACTAACCGCTTTTGAATTAAGGAATGACAAACCGGACATACATTCCAATGTCATTGGAATAACCGCTACCACTTAGCAAGCGTTTAAACCAACTCCGATTTCCTGCAGGACGGATTTCTGTACAATAGCCGTTACTTAACACTCAAGCATTAGAATGCTGCTGTGAATGTGCAATAAAAGAAGCTATTTTCACCACTCTCTGAAATAACCTGCAACGAAAAGGCCATAAAGCTCGTAATGAAAAGGTTCAGATCACCCAGAAAGAGGTGGTTTATCTGGGGCAGAAAATCTCCCATAGGTAGAGGGAAGCGGGTCACCCACAGTCGGACTACACCTGTACAAGCTGCCAAACTTCCTATACCTGTTCGGGAATGGCGGGCCCTCCTGGGTTTGTGTTATATTAACCAGTGCTGCGTTGACTCACCTCCCCAAATGGCCCAGCACCAGGGAGAAAACAGGATTCAAAGGAACAAATAACACGACACAGGAACAGGAAGAGGCCTTCCAGGGACTAAAAACAGCACTTTGTTCCACACCAGCACTGGGAATCCCTAATAATGGAAAACCCTTCACATGGTTTGCGCTCGAGGAGGAGGAATAAATGACAGTACTGGCCCAGGAACAAACTGAGACCTGGCGGATACTATCCAGGGATATTAGACAGTGCAGCCCCAGGGTGGGGGAGCTGTTTGAGAGCAGTACAAGTGTTTAAACAAACTCTGATTTCCCGCAGGACAGACTTCTGTACAATAGTCACTAATTAGCACTCAATCAACATTAGAATGTTGCTGTATGCACAAACTCTGTGTAAAGGAGGCTACTTTTGAGCTAGGATTTTGGGATTCTATTTTCGCCTCACATCGTGCTGTGAATGTGCAATAAAGAGGTTATTTTCACCACTCACTGATTTCGATCATCTGGTTCTTTGAACACCATCTCACAACTTGGCAGGGCCCTGGGTACACCATTGAAAGTGACCAGTCACGGATGTTAGCAGAAGGTAAGCAGCTTCTTTCTCAGTCGTCATCCAGTCCCTGAAAGCAGCCTGGACCTTTTGTGAGTGAGCTATCTTCTCGGATCCCCCATGTCTAGAGCTGGAAGGCTGAAAATCGACTGAAATAGATCATTAGAGGAGACCCAAACTAGAACCGAACAGAAATATAATGTTCCTAAAGGACAGTGGTCCCTGGAGGACGTGAAACTGGGTCTGGGGGAAATAAACGACCCGGCAGAAGAATAAGGACAGGGTTAATCGATCCCTCACATTGATGGCACAACTCCACCAAAGAAACGAAATCATGACCCAGTCAGCCCACCGTCGAGAAGTAAATAATCTTAAAGATCAAGTAAAAGCAATGCACGAACAGCTACAGAAGGAAAGATCCAAACGGGAGAAAGTTGAGCTTATAAATCAGGAGCTTGTAGAAGAGAATAAAAAGCTGAAAGATGAACTGACAGTCTTGTTAGTTTCTTCCCCAGCTCCCAGGCCAATACAGAATCTGTAGCCAACCACCCAGCGAGTGGTTAAGCAAAATAAGGCTGTAGCTCTCGAGATCAAGGGATCCTCTAGCAGTGACAGTGATGAGGACTATACATCCCCAACACCATTTTTACGATCCCTTCAAACCAACAAAGTGAAAATTGTGAAAATGCTGAGGCAGAGAGGTGGATATTCCAGTGAAGCAGCCTGAAAACTACATCGTACATGTACCTTCGACACCTGAAAACATTGACAGGTGGTCTGAAGAAATGCCTCACCCAAAGAAAGGGCCAAAGAAAAACCTGGGAAAGCTGAGACTGGTGAAGGAGAATATACTTGCTCCATTCCTGGGATGGGGTTTCTGACTGTCACTGTGTTACTGAGAGGGAAGGACGCTGCCTCCATGAGGCAGTTAAAGGTGCCCTCGGGGAATATGACCAGGACCTGTAAGCTGGCTGGACAGCAATAAAACAGTGGCTACAGGGATATAGTCCACCTAAAGCCCATTGGACACAGGTTAGTACTTGCTTCCAAAAGGCCACTGAGCAAGTCCTGGAATATGGGGAAACGTTTAGGAAAACCTAGAAGGAATATGCAGGGGTGCCAAATGTGAAGGACGATAGAGATTTTGAAAACTGTGACTACGGCCTGCTGAAATCTCTTTTTCGTGGCCGAGCTTAAACTGGAGCTCTCTAAAGTGCTGAATCTTGCTAAACCAGACTGGGTCCAGAGGGGGACCACATACTGTGAACTGGGTGACCGAGCCCAACGACTCGACCGGGATATGGGGACCCAAGTACAAGGCCTATGGACAGGACAAATGGGACAGACTCTCCCAGTAGCCCCAGAAAAACCCAGAACACAAACCCAGGGGAGTCTTACATGTGTGGGGAAGAGGGTCACTGGTCCAAGAATGGGTAAAGAACAGAAAAAACAGTAAGGAAGGAGACCCTCCCCATGGTGGGAAGTAATCCCAATTTCCTGGAACAGTTTAAAAGGCAGTCCATTCAGCAGCAGCAGGAACTGCTCAACATGACCGAAAACTGAAGGAGCCCGCCCCATGCCCCTCCACGCTGCTACTGGCTTTATGCCAGCAGAGGGGAGACAGACTGGGTGTGACCATGAGGGTGGGAGACCTGAGCACTGAATGTCTCCTGGACACGGGAGCAGAATTGACAGGCCTATCCCGGGAAATATGAAACCAAACTCCCGCTAGACAAGACAGTGAGGACAGTTTATGGAACAAGAGCTGACAGGATCGAAATTAAAACAAACCAAACCCATGCACATTGCATTCGGCCCCCACCAATTAATAACCTGCGTATGGGCAGGACCTGTCGACCAGCTGCTCCTTGGGATGTATATCCTCACCCATTTAAATTCTTCCTTACACTTGCAAAAAGACAACTTGGTGCTGTACACTTGCAAAAAGACAACTTGGTGCTGTAC